TTGTTTTGTTTTGTTTTGTTTTGTTTTGTTTTGTTTTGTTTTGTTTTTTTCAAGACAGGGTTTCTTTGAATAGCCCTGGCTGTCCTGAAACTTGCTCTGTAGACTAGGCTAGCCACCTACCTTTGCCTCCAGAGTGCTAAGATTAAAGGTTTGTGCTCTCTGCTTATTCACGTTTTTTAATAACTGTTAATTTCTCATCCCAAGCTAATAACTATCATTTATCCCAATAAAGCAAAGGTTTCACTTCAGTGGTACTAGTCTCTTGTTAATCACAGCTGTTTCTTGGGCCCAGCTGACAGGAACCACAACATTTTAATTCAGAATAGCAATGGCTCCTATACAGTCTTTAAGGAACTCTCAAATTTCCCTCTGAAACTTCAAAAGCCAGGCCTTTATCCTCTGCATTGATCTCGACATTCTTATCTTCTAAGTTCCTACAGCCCATAGAGCTTAGCTCAGAGTTCCAAAGTCCTTCCACAATCCTCCTCAAAGCAGTATAATAATAAATAAATATATATATTTTTTAATTTAATATATTATATATAATATATATTAATTTATTATATATATAATATTATATATAATGATAATAACAATAAAAATAATTAGGCAGGGGATAAATTTCCTAAAATAAAATTCCTTCCACTATATGATGCTAAGATCCAACTCAGGCCATCAGGATTGACAGGAAGTATCCGTAGCCATGGAACCATCTCTCTAACCTGTCCCCTAGCCTTGGTTTTTCTTTTTTTTTAATTTTGTAATTATATCTATGTACAGAAAACTTTAGCTGTGTATATTTAGCCCAGTTTAGTGATGAGCTCTTTAGCCACACTTAGGACCCAGGATGTTATCTCCTCTGTGGTGCCGGATCTCCTCGTATCTGTCCTTGTAATTGGTCCTAATAGCTTCCACCAGCTTAGCCAGAGCACCCTTGTCTTCCAAGTTAGCCTGTGTGAAGATCTGTCTCAGCAATACTTCATAGCCACTCTTTATGTCTTTTTTTTCCTTTTGTGTAACAAACCCTTTATTCACTGTTGGTAGGAGTGTAAATTGGTGCAGCCAACTGTGTAAATCAATATAGAACTTTCTAAAAATAAAAAAATTAGGAAAGCTAACTAAACAAACAAACAGGATTATTATAGGACCCCACTCTGCCAGCCCTAGGCTATTCTTAAAGAATTGTCCTTCCAGAAAGATATTTACACATACATATTTATTGATGCTGTATTCACACTAGCTAGAAAACAGACTAGGTATATATATCAGTAAATGACTAATAATGAAAAAATGTAGTAGGTATACACTATACCATTTTATTAAGCCTTAAAGAAAAATAAAGTTATAAAATTTTCAGGAAACTGGATAGGACTGGAAAATTTTGAATGAGGCAACCATACACAGATCTTCACTTTAAGCTTTTCTGTATGTGTTTTATTGTAAATGTCTATATAGACATTCTCATTTCAGCTGTTTGTGGATCCTCTAATGCTGAGTATCTTCAAGAAACTGATAAGCAGGGCTGAGAATGTGGAGATAGGCTTGCCTGGTATATAGGAAGCCCTTTGTCCCAGAAAATTGCTTATTCCATTCTTTATCTGTAATTTAAACACTTTTTCCAAAGAAAGTTTTCTATTCTCTCTATTGATTCTGCCATTTCTGAAACAAGAGAATTTAAAGTTTCAGTGTGAAAAGAAACCTCCCTTTCAGCTCTTATAGGAAAAGAAAGTAAAGTCAGTTTAAAAAATCAACACCAGCAAAATACATGAGGATAGGAGGAAGAAAAGAGCCAGCAGCCAGCAAGAGCAATGAAGAGATAATAGTCAATGAGCAGGATACACTCTCTGCATGTATATAACTATCAGGAATAAATAATAGAGAAACGACAGTGTCGCAGAGCAAGATTTGTGGTGAATTATCTATCAGTTTTTGAATAGTACAGTTTTTGTGGTTACTACTTGAAAAACTGAGTTTTTAGATCTTTGTCTCCTTTGTTATATTTTTAATCTTCTAGAACATTATGTGGTAGAAGATACAGAACCTGGAGAACTGGATCTCCTTACAATCGAAGAAGCATCACTGTTTGAAGCAGCCTATCCTGAGGTTGTGGCTATCTACCAGAATCAACAGCCAGAGACTAAAGGGAAGAAACAGAAAAGTAAGGGTTATGTTAAATGGCATGCACTCATGTTGCAGGAGTCACATGAACTGATCTTGTCTAAATTTTGTTGAAAGATTTGTAAATCAAGAGTGAGAATAGTGCTCTTGCTTTTGTGTCTTCATGTACTTCATCTTCTGATGCTTAAGTGCTGGGACCACAAGTTAGGGCCTACCAGCCAGATATTCTGTCACTGTATCTCCTACCAAGCCCCACGCATTTCCCTTTAAAATTTTAAAACAGAAATGCTGGTAGTTCACCACTATACTCTGTGTTTACTAATCTGAGTAAGTTAAGTACAGGATAACAAGTGTGCTATAATGCTAACACTCACTAAACTTAGAGCAGCTACTGCAAATAATATTTTGTGTTATAAGTCCATTTGCCTTATTCCTCAGAATTTAGTGAAGAAAGTAACTCCATAATGACATTTTTGTCTCCTGAAGAAAATACTTTACAGTGTTTACAGGAATGTACCAGGTAGTAGGTGGAGGTGGGCAAAAAAAAAATCTTATGTAGATTAGTGGTTTAACTTTTTGATTTAGGTTACTATTTTTGTTTTTGCTTGAATTAATTTGCTTATTTTTTTATTCTTTTTATTTATTTATTTTGTTTTACCCAAGTGAATAAATAGAAAGACATTTGTTATATATTTTTCTTTCCTTTCAGGTATGAAAAATAAGCCTAAAGAAAGCCATTTACCAGAATCAGATAATGTGATCATTTCTCAGTCACATATGACTTTAAAACCTACATCTAAAGCCTTCCCCAAGCAGAATCCCAAAATTAATTTGGAAATTTCTCCAGATGCTGTTTTAGCACAGGAATCTAATTCTTCCTCATTGAGTAGTCTTGTTTCCCTTGAAAATGCTCCCTGTTTGAATTTGCAAGAACAGTTAATGCCTTGTCCAAGAAGCTTGGCTGTAAAGCAAACTAAAGATGTCAGTAATTTTCTAGTTTCAGAATGTAGTCAACCCAGCTCTTCATCCCGTGATATTTCTGTGATTACTGATCTACAGTTGAGTACCATTGACTGGGCAGGTACTTCTTTTAGTAATTCTCCAGCAGTTCAAAGAAACACTTTCTCTCAAGATTTACAATCAGAACCTGAATCATCAGCCATCCTTCCTGGCTTTGAACAGTTGTCATATGAGTCAGAACAATGTACCTCGAACAATGAAATGTCCGATAGAGATCTTCAGAAGAATAGTCCTGAGGAACACCTCCTTTCTGGCATCACTGGTTTACATCTTCATGAGTTGCCTCTAAAGGAAAGAATACATATAAAATCTTCATGCCCTCAGTATAATGTAGGAGCAGATGCTGACCTGGAAAGTTTGCCCCTAAAAATGAAAGGCTCTTGTATTGCTTACAGTAGGTCTGGTGGTTCATCCCATTTTTCAAAGGATCTTACAGGGGTATATCTTCACAAAGAGTCCAGACACTCTAAAGTTCTAGACAGCCAACTCCTTCAAGAAAACTTCAGGGCAAATACTTCTTTACCTTATTCTTTCAACGACGAAGCAGTAAAGACTTCCAGTCTTCAAGTTGGGCTGCCAACTGCTGCTATACCTCATAATCCAAAGGTTGCTGTGAAAACTACTAAAAATCTTGTCATGAAGAATAGTGTTTGCCTTGAGAGAGATTCCTCAGATGAAGAAAATGCTCCAGTGTCCTGGAAAGCTAAGTATACTGCTCCAAAAATGAAACAGGGTTCTCAGAAGCACAGCCTAGTCCATGTCAGAGATAGTAATCACAACAAACTCAGAAATCCTAAAGTAAAATCTAAAGAAACAAAACTGTATACTGAGTCTTTCAAAACAGCTGAACATAAAGAACACAGGTTCTCAGATCCAGCAGGAAATTCTCAGAGTTTTATACAATGTCATAACAAAGACAAGGACTCTACTGCCTGCTGGGAAAGTCCTCTCCCGTTACGCCAGAGGTTAAAACTCAGGTTCCAGAACACTCAAAGTGGATTTTATAATACGTAAGTTTAATGTGTGTGAATGCTGGTAGCATTAGCAGAAGCCAAGCAAACTCGTGTTTGATAGAAAATGTACATGATTATGTGCCATTTAAATCAAAATTGTAATTTTAAAGTATTAACAGGTGTGGCTCATGCCTACAGTCACGGTATGTACGAAGTCGATGGAGTCCAGAGGATCATCCACCAGGAGTTCAAAGTCATCCTCTGGTATATGGAGAGTGTCAGGCCAAACTCAGTTATCTAAGAAAGAAAAATAATTAAAACTTTGACTACAAAAGATGAGCATCTGGAGATGGCTTCAAATAATGTGTCTTTAGAACATTTTCTTATTCTTGAAATGTCTTTTTTATTATTATCTAGCTTTAACATATCAGTGTATTCTTTGACAGAGTAAATGCTTTATCATTTTTAGTTCTTATGTTAGTGTCTAAAGCATTTGTTTTCAGTCCTCAAGATGGTAACACTTTATAATAGTGTTGCGGTATCTTTTATGGGCCCTTCCTAATGGCTCTATTTCTCCTTCTTGTTAAAGAACTGTTAGCATGCTCTTCCACTTTTAGTAATGTTGTGCTTGAGAAGTGAAAATAGAAGAGGATGGTATGTAGTGAAGTGTGGTTGTGAAGTCTAGATAAGGAAAGTCACTCCTTATGTACATGCAGAAGTTCATGGGCACTGCAAGCAGGAAATGTTTTAAAATCAGATGTAAAACCAAAAGGGAATTGGAAGCTTCCTCGGGATCACACAGTAATAATAGTAATAGTGTAGATCCCATCTTTCTGGTTTGGTTCTTGTGCTTTTGCTTTTCTGTTTTGTTTGTAATCTATAGAACTGTTCCCTTTTGCTTTAAATTTTAGTTTGTATATAATGTTGACTTTAATTTCTACAAGTCTTAAATCTTAAATATACATAAATTGTAGAACTCCTAAAGGCATCTAGAGTTTAAGAGAGATAGTACAACTATTTGTAAATGACTGGAGCCTGAAAGCAGAAGATACTAAGGAATCCGTCAAAAATTTATTGAAAGCAGCCTGGCATGGTGACACGCCTTTAATCCCAGCATTTGGAAGATAGAGGCAAATGGATCTCGGAATTCAAGACTGGCCAAGTAGGCAGAGCTAGTTCCAGGACAGCCAGGGCTACAAAGAATTCCTGTCTTAAAAAAAAAAAAAAAATGTTTTTAAACAAAAACAAAAATATTAAAAGTGAAGAGTAAGTAAGTTAGCAAGCTGTAAAATTCAAAATTAGTTTACAAACTACATAGTTGTAGTTCTGTGTATTCGGTGTATGACAATGAAATTTCACCAAGGGAATTAAAGTTATTTTGTTTACAACATCAAGAAAATGAGCCGGGTGGTGGTGGCGCATGCCTTTAATCCCAGCACTTGGGAGGCAGAGGCAGGCGGATTTCTGAGTTCGAGGCCAGCCTGGTCTACAGAGTGAGTTCCTGGACAACCCGGGCTACACAGAGAAACCCTGTCTTGAAAAAACAAACAAACAAAAAAAGAAAAAGAAAACGAACATGGCAAAACTTAGTTACAAGTGAAAAGCAATGGCTGAAATTAAAGAAAATATAAATAAAGACATCCCAGATTCGTGGATCAGAAGACTTAACTTGGTAGTACTGTTAAACTGGTGCATTTAACTACCATCACATGGGCGACAGAAGCAGGTGAATCTCTTGAGTTTGAGACCAGCCTGGTCTACAGAGCAAGTTCCAGAACAGCCAAGACTACAAGGAATAACCCTGTCTCAAAAAACTAACCAATCAAGAGAAAAATAAACAACTGTTTAGTTTCAGTCCAGTTCGATCAATATCATGTTTGTTTGCTTTCCCCACATACACACCCCAGAACATGACCAGTTGATTTTATTATTCAGATAGAAATTGAATAACACATCTTGGGAAAATTGGAAAATTCACCCTTCCTGATGTCATAATTTACTACAAAGCTGTATAAATTAAATATGTTATATTGATTTAAGGGTAGATGTGTAGATAAATGTTAAATCAATTGGACAGAATTGGGTCTAGAAATGTACCCTCACATTTATGATCAATTGAATTCTTAGCCAGTATGAAGACATCAATGGGAAAACAAGTCTCAATAAATGCTTCTGGAACTTTTGGCTGTTCGTGTAAGAACAATTTTAATCCTTATGTCATACTTTTTTCTTAAGTACATCCAATAGCAAGAGTGACAGTTCTGTCATTTCACCTGCCAATGGGCCAGGGCCAACAGACTCCAATGAATACAACTCAAGAGCAAGGCAAACTCAGGGTGGCTATATTAGAGGAGCAAACAATTCCTCCATGGTGTGGGAACTTCCATGGGACAAAGAGCCTTATGGTTACCGTGGGTTGGTTGGTTCATTCTATTTGTAGAACACCACAACCTACTGGGCAGAGACAGATCTATGTCAATTATCAGAGCAACAGATAAGAATGGAACTGTAGTAGTTATGACTGGCAAGCACATACTTAAAAGCATGACAGATGTGTTTGAGGTGGATAGTTAGTTAATACAAGAGTGAGGTATCCTGGACAAGGGTCTTTTGAAGATCTACAAGAGAGTAGTTCTTTGGAGACATATTGAGTGAGGGGGGTAGGGTGGTGGTGGTCCAGAGGCAGTTTCTCTGTGTAGCCATGGCTGTCCTGAAACTCACTGTGAAGACCAGACCAGCTTCAAACAGAGATCCACCTGCCTTTGCTTCCCAAATACTGAGGTTAAAGGTGTGCACCACCACCACCCAGCCTTCATATCATTTTTTAAATTGCAATTTAGGTCAATGACTTGAGATCTAAAACTCTAGGAGAAAGTAAAATAGGCTGAGGGCTGGAGAGATGGCTCAGTGAGTAAGAACACTTACTACCCATTTGGTGTGTCTCGAAAGTACCTGTAACTCCAAATCTAGGATCCAAAACTTGGCATCCTCAGGCACCTGCACATATGCATATACTCATATATACATAATTTTAAAATCTGGAAAGAGGCTGAAATACTTGGTTTTTGATTGGGTAAGGGATTCTTAAATACAACATTAAAACATAGACATAGGGACCTGAAGAGGACAGGGACTCCACAGGAAGACCAACAGAGTCAACTAACCTGGACACTTGGGACTCCCATAGACTGAATCACCAACCAAAGAACATACATGGGCTAGACCTAGGCTCCTTGCACATATGTAGCAGATAAGTAGCTTGGTCTTCTTGTGGGTCCCCAACAACTAGAGCAGGGTCTGTCCCTGAGCCTGTTGCCTTCCTGCCCGTGGATCCTCTTCCCCTAACTGGGCTGCCTTGGCTGGCCTCAGTGGGAGAGGATGCACCTAGTCCCATAGTAACTTGATGCGTGTGGGGGGGAGGGTGCACCCCGAGGAGGGTTCTCAAAAAAGAAGAAGATGGATTGGGGGAAGGACTTAAGGAGAAGGGTGCTAATATTTGGATGTAAAGTCAACAAATAAATTTTTAAAACATAGGGATAAAAAAAACCATAGATTTTTATCAAAATGTTTTAAATGACATAAATGATATTAGTCTGTAATGAGAGAAAGCATTAAAAATCATAGGTACAAATTACCTATAAAGAGAACTGTTAAAATTCAGTAGTAAAAAGGTAATTTTAAAAATGAGAAAATGCCTAAATAGACATTGCTCCAAAGAAGAAAAAAATGGCCAATAAACATATATGTGAAAAATGTGTCAGTTAACTGGGAAAATATAAATGCAAGTCACCAGCAGTTCCCACATCACAGTTGCTAGAATGGCTAAACTTAAAAAAATAATAATACCAAGAACAAAAATTGGAACGTCATTACCCACTGTGGTAAAAGTGTAAGGTAGCAAGTCATTTTGGAAACGTCCCATGGTTCTCCAAACCAAGTAATTCTTCTCCCAGACATATACTCAATGAAAACATACAGCCACACTTTTTAAAAATCAGTGTACAAATGCCTTTAACATTATTATTAATAGCCACAAAGGAGAAATCGCCCAAGGTGCCAAGGAAGAGAGGAAAACTAACATACATTGTGTACCAGGTGTGGTAAACTCAGCTGAGTTCTGTGCAAAGTTTCTACCAACTCCGTTAACTGTATTGCAAAGTTTTGAATATTTAGGAAGATAATCCCATTAAAAATTCCCAAGTGTCTTATCTTGATTTGTCCATTGTTAAAGGCAGGTAGCGCCATGCAATCCAGGGAAATACATAATATTTGTAGGTGCTCTTGAGGTTTTATGAAATAAAGGTAACAAAATGGGTTAAGAATGGGTTGTCTGGATTTCTTATAAGTCTGTGAGCACTAGTCTCTGGTTTGATATCAGCTTTCACTCCCTCTTCAAGTTGCCTTTCATTGTCCTGGCTAGTCTCAAACTCTTCTATGTTCTATTTCCTTGTTGATAGGCCCTTGACACTTGTGCACAGACTTCTCTTATGAATTATTGTTTATATTTGCATTCATCACTTCATTGTGTTGTCTTTTAAATATTCTACTAAAAATCTGCCTCTAGCTACTTGACTCCTGAGAAACTGGTTTCTCCCTTTTTCCTCCACACTGAACCCTGCTCTGACTTTTCTGCTAGGCTATGTTTGGTCAGGCTGAAGTCCTTAGGATTTCTTCCACAGTTCACACACTGAAGGAGACTTTCTTACATGGGGGAACAATGATCAAAACCTTTTTTTGTCAGCTGTGCCTAGCTTCAAGGGCTTTTCGGCCACAGATTTCCCCAGATATTTCCTCACCTTTCTGAGACGCATTGAAATATTTATGTCACATCTATTAAGTGACAGATATTGCTCGGCCCTAGAGATTTAGTGATGAATGGATCCTGTAAGCCTGTTTTAATTTCTGTAAATTAACTGCCACTGCTGGCACACTGGGGCACTTAATAGATGACAGATGCCAGGCACTATCATTTGGAAGAACATTTCAGATTTAATTTCAAGCTAAATAGAACCCAAACACTGCCTCTGAGTAAAAATGTGGGCACTATAATCCTCTACTAGGTGGTGTGAGGTAGGGATAACTGGAAAAGGGAAGCTCACCAGGTTAGCACCCTAAAACGGATCCCAAAGAATGGAAGATTTGATTTGCAGAACTACAATTGGTAACTAATGTTCATCCATCCACCCAACATCGGTATTAAGCATAGACTTCCTACAAAGTTCTTAGATTTTGTGTGGCAATTGGTGATGTGTTTGTGAGTTTAAAAGGAATTTCTTTAA